TCTCTTTCTATCATCCCTAGTCACTGTTCAACTCTCTGATGCATAGCACATAATTTCAAAGACTATAGCCTGGATCAGGCATATCTTAATCTCCAGCCTGATGTCATTGCTCTTCAGAACTCTGGAGAGGTCCCTCACAGCTGACTTTCCCGATGCAATTCGTCTCCTGATTTCCTGGCTGCTGTTACCAAGAGTGTGGTTTTTTATTTTCTGACTTGCAGCTATAAGTGTTGATTTGTGGATCCACAGAAAATTAAGTTATTGAGAACTTTAATCTTTTCTTTTTTTTTTTAATTGTAAAAAACATGTTTGGGGATCCAAGGGGCTATGGAGTGGGAGCAAGAAGGGTGAGGATGGGCAGGGATGAAATCACGTAGCTGCACAATTTGGTGGGTAGAGGGAGTGGATAAAGGGGACCGGAAAAAACAGGGCAATGGCATAGTACAATGGTGACCAATAATTTATTTTTAAGATATTATCTTTTTTTCACTTGTGGGTTTCCCATTTGGGAATAGGAACACAGACTCTCCGGCCAGTTCTGAGCAGGGTTCTGAGATTAAGGGAAGGCAAGCCCACTTTAACACTTTACTGGTGGTCTTGAGTTGAAGCTCCATGCCTTCTTGTTCAGTTAGAAGATATTTTCATAACATTGTCTGCCCTATGGACTGCAAATTGTTTGCGTCAGTGAGTCCAGTGCGAGTGGCTGGCTGAACTGAGAGGTTCCATCCACCTCTGCTTCCCGAGCTGGCAGTTATAGTTCCCTTTTGTCTTTGGAACCAGGCTCAGAGTTTGGGATATGGAACAAGACTCAGTGTTCAGGTTACCTATAGTAAAGGGAGCAGCCCTACAGAGAACAAACTTGTGAGTTATAAAGAAAAGGACTTTGGAGGTGTTACTTACAGGTGTACTGGAAGAGGAGATGGAGGAAAACGGCTTAGGTAAAGCTCCTCATACACACAAGGTGGCACTTCCCAGGTGCTAGGTGGCACTCCCCAGGGGCCAGGTGGCACTCCCCAGGGGCCAGATGCCCCCCAAAGCCCTTCTGATATCCAGACATTGCATCCTACTGATGACCTTGGCTGGGGACAGTACTACTAGCTGCCATCATTATCCCCTTCCTCTCAGTCAAGTGATCTAACTTCTAAGGAGGTACTATGACTTTCCCCTTCACAAATGGAGGAGGGGCATCCAGAGTGGTGAACAGACCTGCTCAAGGTTGGAAAAAAGTAATAAGGGCTGTAAAACAAGGAGTCAAACAAGGTTGTCTGAACCTTGAGGCAGCGAGCTCCACGCGATGCTTGGGTTGGCCAGATCATTTTCAAAATGGCCAGGAGCATATGCTCAGGGCACACACGTGGGGCACTTCCCCCAGCTGGCTACACACACACCAACTTTAATCTTTTCTCCAACTCTCATGATGTTGACTATCCATCCAGTAGGGAGAATTTCCGTT